GTCTACAACCTCATAATTAAATCTGTAGTCAATGTGCCAGTATGTGTGAAGAGACTGTGTGTACTTTCTAAAAATTTAACAATTCTTTGGAATCAAGCCCACAAAAAAATCAACAAAATTAATGCTAAAAAAATCAGAAATAGTTCTTGAAAGGGAGTCTTTATATAGTTGGCAGGACTTGTGAGAGAGTGAGAATCTACAATTATAATTCAGGAATATTTGTGACTCATGGGAGGAGGTCAAACTATCAGCATCAATAGGAGTTTGTAAGAAGTTGATCCAACCTTCATAAATGACTTTGGAGGTTCAGGACTTGAGTGAAGGAAGTAACTATAGACGTGGTGGAAATAGCGAGTGATCTGGAATTAGAAGTGGAGTCTGAAGCTGATGACTGAACTGCTGCGGTCTCGTGGCAAGCCTGTGTGGCTGAGCTGCTGACAGATGTGCACAGACAGGTGCTCTGAGATCGGATCTGCTCCTCGTGAAGACGATATGAAGATTGCTGAAATGATAACAGAAGATTTAGAATACATAAACTTAATAAAGCAGTGACAAGGTTTCTATAGTTTTGAAAGAAGTCGTACACTTGGTAAAATGCTACCAAACAGCATTGCGTGCTACACAGGAGTCTTTTGTGAAAGGAAGACTGAAATCAATTTGGTAAACTCAATTGTCTTATTTTAAGAAGTTGATGGACGGCGCCTGTGACTCAGTGAGTAGGGCACCAGCCCCATAGACCAATAGTGGAGGATTTGAACATGGATGGCCCCATCCAAACTGCAACCAAAAAATAGCCGGGTGTTGTGGCGGGTGCCTGCAGTCCCAGCTACTCGGGAGGCTGAGGCAAGAAAATGACCTAAGCCCAAGAGCCGGAGGTTGCTGTGAGCGGTGAGCACTCTACCGAGGGTGACAAAGTAAGATTCTGCACCCACCCTAATCTTTAGCACCCTGAAGCCAGCAGCATCAAGGCAAGATCCTTGACCAGCAAAAAAAGATTATGACCCACTGCAGTCTCAGAAGACCAATAAAGTATTTTTAAATTAAGATATATACATTGGGCTTTTTTAGACACAATGATATGGACGGCAGAACAGTGTAAACAGGAACCTCCTCTGTTTGACTTGTTTTACTGCAGTGATCTAGAACTGATTATTCCATATTTCCTAGATACATCCTTGCACGAATGCTTTTGGCTTCTTCTTTAAATTCTGTTTTAATGCTAAATATTTGAACATTGAATATTAAAGATTCAGATACCATATTTATATTTTACAAAATAATGAAAAATATACAATTAACTCTAAGAGTCAGAAACGTTTAGAACATTTAAGATGGAATCTTAACTATTGTGCCTCCTCTTTAGTTAAATAACTTGACTATGTCAGGAAACTTTTTGTAAAAAAAAAAAAAAAAAAAAAGGTAAGGTACGAGTAAGAACACCATGCTTGTACTGAGCCTGTACGAGGTGCTCTGCAGACCTGTAAGACCTGTAGTTTTCTCAACAACTCTAAGAGGGAGGTGTGTTCATCCCCATTTACAGATGAGAATGCAGAGTCTTAGGTTACATAACATGCCCGGGATCACCAGATAGTAACCAGCAGATTGCTCAATCTGCCCAACTATCTCGTGACTGACTCAGCACCCACCCCACCCTCACCCTCCGTAAACCTCTGCCTTTAGTTATGTTTAGGGCTGCTTACTAGAGAAAAATTATTTTTAAAAAATACTGTGGCTCGGCGCCTGGGGCTCAAGCGGCTAAGGCACCAGCCACATACACCTAAAGTGGCGGGTTTGAATCCCCAGCCCAGGCCCGCCAAACAACAATGATGGCTGCAACCAAAAAATGGCCAGGCATTGTGGCGGGCGCCTGTGGTCCCAGCTACTTGGGAGGCTGAAGCAGGAGACTTGCTTGAGCCCAGGAGTTGGAGGTTGCTGTGAGCTGTGAGGCCACGGCACTCTACCCAGGGGGACAGCTTGAGGCACCGTCTAAAAAAAAAAAAAAAAATACCGTAGGGCATCTTTCTAATTTTCTTCTTGAGATTTGTTTTCTTCTTGCATCCTACGCCACCCACTGAGAATCACAGTATGACCATCGAATGCTATGCCGCCTTTTCAGGGTCACAGGTAGACGCCTGGACGTGCTGCACTGTGTTTTCACTGCACTGAGCGTGAGTAAGTTCCCCTCACACACATCTCCCACACTGAGGAGTTGGGGGTAGCCCCACTATCCTTACTGAAAACTGGAAATATTTTTACAATTTTCTATATTATCATCAAAATTCCCACCAGAAGGTTTGGTTTTTACTTTGTAACACACACACACATACACACATATCCCATTGGAATTTTTGATCACAAACAGTAAATACTGATTTTGTTACGTAGAAGGAATATATTGGGTGGATATAAGGGAGCACACAGAACTCCCTAATAACTGTGGGGTGGGGTGGGTGCTGAGTCAGTCACAAGATAGTTGGGTATATCTAGCAATCTGTTGGTTACTATCTGGTGATCCTGGGCACACTAAATCGTGGTAGAAATTCTGAGATACCAGAGGTGGGAAAATAGACAGGAATCTAGGGAGATGAGAGATTCAGAACCACACCCACAGCTATTCCACAGAAATGCTGGTGAGGGCACTGCTCTTAGCTGGTGGGTGTCCTTGTGTATAATAATTCTTTTTTGATTGTTTAATTGCATCATTGTTAATAATAAAATGTTAGGAAAAGTGAAAGTAATCCAAATATTCATCAATAGGATGTTCATAAAATAAATTACAATGTATTTTTGGGATACAATATTGTTATAAAATATTACAGATCTGAACATACACTCATGTAGTGATAGTCAGGATATTAAAGGTGGAAGAAAGTTCCAAAACACTATTTAGAGGATTATTCTGTTTTTAAAAAATATTTATTTTTATATGTGTAGAAAAAATTCAAAGAGGGAATATATATTACGCTGTTAGTAATTGTCATCTCTGGGCAGCTCTTGAGTCTTGGGAACTTTTGATTTATTACATCATATTTCTGTGATATTTGAAATATTTTTGTTAATAAATTGTAAAAAATTACTTTGTCTTTATTAGCTATAGTCTTCAATTACAAGATTTGTGCCCCAAACTTACATTAAGGCAGTGACTGTCATGTGGCCTTCTCTGCTCTGCGTGAACAGATATTCTCAACAACTAGAAGTGATACTCTTTTTCTCTGCCTTACCCTTCACCACGGCAGCCAAGATATAGGGGATTTCTCATCAGTGAATATCACTAGCTGAATATTTGAAGAGTGAAGAGCAGACTCTACAGGTGGAAGGAGGGAGGGGTGAATGGGTAAATTCACGTCTAATGGGCACAGTGTACACTGTCTGGAGGTCAGACACAGTATATCCTGGACTCAAACTGGACACGCATGTAACCAACACATCTGTGCCCCTGTAGCATTCTGAAATTTAAAAAAGGAAAAGAACTGACTTTGAGTGTAGTTTTACCTGGTAAGTGTGCAGTTGCTATTGAGGATGCCATTAGGGGTGTGCTTTCCAAGAGTATATGCGTCCTAATCCCACTTGTGTTTTACATGTTTTAGTTTATAATTGTCCTCATTACTCTCTTTGGCCAAAATATCTACTTTTAAATATTAGCTTATTCTCTAAAAGTATTTCCTGTATAACTCTTGTATTTCTATTGCGGAAAATTTTAAACTTTGAGTGAAAACTTTTATGTAAAGCTTTTTTATACATGGCTAAGCTTGTTGGTTCACGTCTGTAATGCATGAGTACCATAATGATACCCTGTCTCTAGAAAAAATGTTTTTAGAAAGTTAGTTATAGTGGTGTTGCATTTGTAGTACCAACTACCCAAGAGGTAGGAAGACTGCTTGTGCCCCAGGAGTTAGAGGTTACAGTGAGCTATGAGTGCACCGCTGCACCCTATCCTGGGTGACAGAGTGAGACCTTATCTCTAAAATAACAACAATTTTTAAAAATTAAAATAAATTTTATGTTTACATATAAATTTAAATAAGTTTGGTATAAAACTTGAAACTCATTTTAATTCAATCACTTTTAATGTTTCAAATCTCTGATGTGACATTATTGAAAACTTATAAGACATTCTGTTGTAATAATTTAAGCATGTTGAAAATTAAAGTTATGGTTTTTATTAGTTTATTTGTTTGCTTTTAGCATTCCACATTGGAAGAAGAGCTCTCTACATAAAAAATGCCTTTGTTCAGCAAATCACACAAAAATCCAGCAGAAATTGTGAAAATTCTGAAAGACAACCTGGCCATTTTGGAAAAGCAAGACAAGAAGACAGACAAGGTATGAGCTGAAACAATGACATTGTTATTAAAATACATGTGTTCCAAGACTGAGACTTAATGAAAGCTTAATGGAGAATCCTGAGTCTAGTCTGTGATATGCTCATAGTACAGTGAGGTTGATTTCAGGTTTTATGCACCTGATAATTATTTAGTCTGTCATCTCGAACTCATGGTTCACTATCTAGAGCCTCCAATCAGCTATGGATCCCTACAGACTCCTCACAGGTAGAACCTTCTAGCATAGGCAGTCCCCGAGTTACTAACATCTGGCGTATGAACAAAGGCTATTACAGGTGATAGATAAATGTACCTGTTCCAACTTACATACAGATTCAACTTAAGAACTAACATGCCGAACCTATCTCATTTGTAATCCAAGGATTGCCTGTACTTTATAATATTGAGCCAAGTATTGACCTGAATAGAAAGAAAAATGATCTCCACAGAGGAGTGAGTTTAAATGGCAAAAGAGTGAAAAGAAAAAAACATTGCTCATTTTTATTGGTAATTAGGAAACAGGCCTTAAAGCCACTAAATCTACGTTACACACCTTCTGTCTTGGCAAAAATGAGAAGGTCCGATCCTAGTGAGTGCTAACAGGGCTGGAGATCAGTGAGACCACTCACTCGCTGATGTAACTGCTCTAGAAGCCGGTTCAGTATTTTCTGTTAAACGTGAACACATGCGTGTGCCAGTGTCCTGCAGTACCTGTTCTCACGTCTAAACTCTGGGGATGTTCTTGCACACGTGCACCAGGAAAAATGTACAAGAATTTCCATAACATCATTGTTCACAAAACTCCTCAATGGAAACAGCCCAGTGTTGACCCAGGAGAACCTGTAGAGAGGTCAGGGTGCAGCCATCAGTAGAGTATACAGAGCAATGAAAATGAAGTGACTGCTGTGTCCATGCAGTGGAGAGAAATCTCACAAAAGCAGTATTGAGTAAAAGCGGCAGATCAGGAAAAGGTGCAGGTCCTACTGCATACTGTGCAAAATCAGTGCAACCGAGTGATGTTGTTTTGGATGCGTGCATAGCGAATGAAACTATGAAGCAAAGACGTGATTATCATAGAGATATAAAAAGGTTCGTGGAGAAGAGGCATCTGGGGGACATCTGGGGTGCTGAAAATGGTCACAAAAGTGTTTACTCTCTGCATATGTTTGAAGCCCTCTCTGGGGATATATCTCACGATTTAAGAAGCTTCCAGTCTTTAATAAATTCAGGATGAATTGATTCAGTCAGACCATAAAAGTGTCTGGACAATTATGAGTTACTTTTATGTAATTTGACTTATTCTACCCATTCTCTTCTTCATCTATAATGATTTCAGTACTGTACTTGAAAGTAATAAAACTATATTTCTATTACAGTATTCAGAAAATTAAACTTTTAACTAAATCAGCTCTCCTTTCCTACCTGTATTAGCTTAACTTTTAAATTGAGATATAATTCACATTCTGGTTTTCTATCTAAAGTGTACAAATCAGCAAATCAGTGGTTTTTAGTATATTCACAAGATAGGATAAGCATCACCACTATTTAATTCTAGAATATTTTTATCACCCCAAGAAGAAACCTTGTGGCTCTTAGCAACCATTCTCTCTCCCTAACACCTACAAATCTACTTTCTGCCCTATGGATTTGCCTATTTAAAATATGGTGAATTTTTTAAAGTTTTATAGATAGCAATGATGATGTATGGAGAACAAGTGGATTGACAGAGTTCATAGGTTTGGACAACTTATGATTTTATATCTAGCACATTAAAAATCAGAAGAATAAGGATGTTGAAAAACCTTAACACAATGCTTTCTATAAAGATTAGTGGCTACTAGGCAGAGACAGTGGCTCACGCCTGTAATCCTAGCACTCTGGGAGGCTGAGGTGGGTGGGTTGCCTGAGCTCAGGACTTTGAGACCAGGCTAAGCAAGAGCAAGACCCTATGCCTAAAAATAGCCCGGCGTTGTGGTGGGCTACTCGCAGCTACTCAGGAGACTGAAGCAAAAGAGGATTGTTGAGTCCAAGAGTTTGAGGTTGCTGTGAGCTAGATCACCAAGACACTCTACTGAGGGCAACAAAGTAAGACTCCAAAAAAAAAAAAAAAGATAAGTAACTTCTGATAAGTCTTTAGACTGTTGTTAATTTAATTTTCAAGAGTAAAATTTGTATTAATTGAAGATTATTTCAACTATGTTGACTAAGTAGAAATATTAGACATCTTTTTTATATAAATAAAATTTTAGCAACATTTTCCAAAGTAAAAAAAGCAGGACCTACTAAATGGTTTTTTGTTTGATAACTATACAATGATCTTTAACTATCAATAAAATGGTTCAAGAAATGGATTTTTAATTGTTTTAAATATTAGCATACTTTTTGGTCACTAGGCTTCAGAAGAAGTGTCGAAATCACTGCAGGCAATGAAGGAAATTCTGTGTGGTACAAATGACAAGGAACCCCCGACAGAAGCAGTAGCTCAGCTAGCACAAGAACTCTACAGCAGCGGGCTGCTGGTGACACTCATCGCTGATCTGCAGCTCATAGACTTCGAGGTAACTATCTGTAAGATGCTCACAGCTCTGCTGTTTAGTTTTCATATCATGACCATTAATGTTTGGCTTCATTCTTTTATTGTGGCTGTCCATAGATTTTTTTTTAAAACTTCTATGATCACTCACTTTAACTTAATTACGAAAGAGCAAAAAGTTGTATGCTATAGTTTTATGCAATTAAGTGGCAAAGTTAATGGCTGATAAGCATAATAATAGTAGGTAACATTTATTATGTGCTTGCTATACACCAGTACAGTTTCAGACACTCAACTTCTTTAATTATTTTTTTCTTTCTTTTATCTTTTTTTTTTTTTTTGAGACAGAGCTTCAAGCTGTCCCCGTGGGTAGAATGCCGTGGCATCACAGCTCACAGCAACCTCCAACTCCTGGGCTCAAGCGAGTCTCCTGCCTCAGCCTCCCAAGTAGCTGGGACCACAGGCGCCCGCCACAACACCTGGCCATTTTTTGGTTACAGCCATCATTGTTGTTTGGCAGCCTGGGCTGGGGATTCGAACCTGCCACCTTAGGTGTATGTGGCTGGCGCCTTAGCTGCTTGAGCCACATGCGCCGAGCCTATTTTTTTTTTCTTTTGAGACAGAGTCTCACTATGCCACCCTTGGTAGAGTGCTGTGGAGTCACAGCTCACAGCAACCTCAAACTCTAGGGCTTAAGCAATTCTCTTGCCTCAACCTCCCAAGTAGCCACAATGCCTGGCTATTGTTTGGTTGCAGTTGTCATTGTTATTTAGCAGGCCTGGGCCGGTCTCAAAGCTACCAGCTTCATTGTATGTGGCTGGAGCCCTACTCACTGAGCTACAAGCACTGAGCCTCAAGTAATTTAATTTTTAAAACTCCTTTTTGGCTAATACTGTATGAGCCTCATCTTATAGATGAAGAATCATATAAAATTACTAAGTAATTTGCCATTAAATGAGAGCTTAACCTGAGATTCAAATTCACACAGTATGTACCAAACCAATTAAAATGTCATGCCAATAATTTAGGAAATTTGTTAAGTGCTAGCAATGTAATATCTTCATCTAATTTTGAAAGCAATTATATAGTTTATCTAAATAAGAAATTGACTAAATGAAACAAAAACTTAGAAACATATGTCTATGTACAGGCATTTTATTCTCTATTGTGTGTCTAACTTAGAATAGTAATTTTTTCAAGTGAAACATGTACATAGGCAAGTTTGGGCCTTGACTAAGGAGGTGCTGAAGGTCCTGGTTTGGCTTTGTTGTTGTGTTTCTACCATAGTACTTTTTAAAGTATCAGGTAAGTGCTTGGTTCTCCATTAGTTCTCAGAGATAGAGGAGATACACAGATTTCTGAAGTGAATAGCTTTTAGTTTGATTCACTGAACAAATGGAACAAAAACTAATTACAGTGATTAGGCCAAGATAAGGTCAGAGCTTTGGCAATCTGTGGAAATACTAGCCCGTGGCTCTCTGGACATAATAGATGGGGAAGATTGTTGGCAAGTGGAGCTAAGGAGGAGGAACACAGAGCCAGGCTGCTCAGGAGCTGTGTGGTCAGGTGGCTGGCCAGAAGGGGGACTGAGGGCCCCTCAGGGCCAGGAGACCAGCTCATCCTTGCTTTCCATGCACCTGTCTGCCCCGCCCCCTCCCCTCAGTGTCTTTGTCTGTCTTGGACATGCTCCAGCCCACAATCTCTTCTTTCTTTCTCCTTTTACTTGGCTTGCTCATTTTTTTTCCCATCTTAGAGGTCCTGTCTCTTTTTAAAACTTCAGTTCTGTGTGGAATCAAAATATAGTATTACTGTGTTTTTTCCTTGTATTTTTTAAGTTAATTTAAAATTAGTTATTATGAATGTTTGTAGAATCTATGGCAGAGTAGAACATCACTTGGCTAGGAACTAGAGTTGTTTACAGTCCCAGCCCTGCTATTTCCTAGTCAGTGACAACCTCTTTGAACTTTTCTATCATCTGTAAAATAGGAATGATATGAACTTACAGCATTCTTTTTTTTTTTTTTTTGAGACAGAGTCTCTAGCTGTCAGTGGTGGGTAGAGTGCTGTGATGTCATAGCTCACAGAAACCTTCAACTCTTGGGCTCTTGCCTCTGTTTTTCTATTTTTAGTAAAGATGGGGTCTCACTTTTGCTCAGGCTGGTCTCAAACTTGTGAGCTCAAGCAATCCATCTGCCTCGGCTTCCCAGAGTGCTGGGATTACAGGTGCGAGCCACCGTACCTGGCCCTTTTTTTTTTGAGACAGAATCTCATTGTGTTACTCTGGGTAGATTGCTGTGGCATCATCATAGCTCATGGCAACCTCAACTCTTGGGCTCAAGGAATCCTCCTGCCTCAGCCTCCCATGTAGCTGTGTCTACAGGCACTTACCACAACACCCAGCTAGCTTTTCTATTTTTAGTAGAGATGGGGTCTCACTCTTGCCCAGGCTGGTCAAGAACTCCTGAACTCAAGCCATCTGTCTGCCTCAGCCTCCCAGAGTGCTGGGATTATAGGTGTGACTCACCACACCTGGCCTATAGCACTGTTTTAAATATTCAATTATTTAAAAAACATCTACACATCATATAAGAACACTTAAGTACAAATGCAAAATATATACAAAAGTCAAGGAAGTATTTTTATTTCCTGTCTAAAACTAAAGAACTCAAGTTAGATGTAAGCTGGTTTGTTTTTGTTATAACTCTTGATTTATTTTGAAGTTTTAGATATAGTTGGTCAGTGACTATACATTTCAAAAATGATTCCCTACTTTTAGGTTACATTATTTTCCTTTCCTTTTTCCTTTCTTTCCCTTATTTTCCCTTATTTTAGTTTCACTCTATGGCCCCGGGTAGAGTGCCATGGCATCATAGGTCACAGCAACCTTAAACTCTTGGGCTTAAGTGATCCTCTAGCCTCAGTTTTTCATTTTTAGTAGAGATGAGGTCTTACTCTTGCCCAGGCTGGTCTGGAACTCCTGAGCTTAAGCAGATTATGTCATATTTCTATATTACTATATAGTATTAGTTTCCTATTGTTTTGCTTGTTTTACTGAGAAAATGAGTAAAATTGTTGTACTTGATATGTGCCATTGAGCAATATATTAAGCTATTGTCACCGTTTATTCCTAAGTTTCTTTGAGTTAGTTTATGAGATGAGCCCAATTTTCAGTTGAATGCAAGAAAGAATATGACTTACGATAGTTATGATTTGAAGAATGGATCAGGGACGAATGTTGTCCAGCACAGTGACCTGGAGAAGCCTTGAGCACTCTCAGGATATCGTGGGTTCAGAGTGCTCTCCAAGGGGTGAGGCAAAAGGGAGGGGACCCCAGAAGGAAACTGTGAGTGCCTCACAGTCATAATTAGCGTTGGCTCAGATTACAGAAGTGGAACATTCAGAAACAGTTGTGTAAGTTTCTTTTCTTTTAAATGATTTACTGAGCATGAATTAAAAATTTAAAGAGAAAGTTTATTTAAAAATGATTTGTAATTAAGACGTTTGATCACTGAAAAATTGAGTCGTACCTTAGCAGGTAAGCTTTTTTTATTCTCTAGAATCCTTGGAGAAAAGAAGTCAGAGCTATCTTTCTGAGTATCTGAATTATCCTTATAGCTAGAGATTAAATCTTCAAATGCAGAGTTAATTATTTTTGTGGATTATTTTACTTTTTAAAATAAAATCTATTACATACAGAGGGCACCAAAAACTGTGTACACATTTTAGGAAGGGAAGAGACTGTATCAAAATTGTAATACTCAATATATACCAACCCCAGAAGATGAACACAAATCACACAGAGCACTGCTTGAAACTGCAGAAGTCAACATGACTCGAGTGTTACAAGTCGAGTATGGCTTTCCCTTTGTTGAAATGCATAGACCCTGGCTCGGCACCTGTACCTCAGCGGCTGGGGCACCAGCCACATACCAGAGCTGGCGGGTTCGAATCCAGCCCTGGCCCTCCAAACAACAATGACAACTACAGCCAAAAAATAGCCAGGCATTGTGGTGGGCTCTTATAGTCCCAGCTACTTGGGAGGCTAAGGCAAGAGAATGGTTTAAGCCCAAAAGTTGGATGTTGCTGTGAGCTGTGACGTCACAGCACTCTACCCAGGGCAACAGCTTAAGACTCTGCCCTCTATATTTATCTCCCCTCCAGAATAATATATGAGCTATAATAAGCTTTAACTGATGACTCACAATCGTTATGAAGATCTGTTATTGTGATGATTAACCGGCAGGGAGTTTTTACCTTTGTTTATTCAGCTGATAGAACTCGATGCCTAGAACGTAGCTATAAATGACTGTGGGGCTCAGCAGATGCAGCAGTCCTCCTCGAGCTCATGATAAATAAACACTTCTTGGCTGAATGGATGATTCATGTATGAATGAAAAGCTCTTAAAATTTAGGACAGCTGGGAGGATGGGTGGAGGGAGGGTAATTGGTGGGACTACACCTACGGTGCATCTTACATGTGAAATTTACTAAATGTAGAATATAAATGTCTTAACACAATAACTAAGAAAATGCTGTGAAGGCTATGTTAACCAGTTTGATGAAAATAATTTCAAATTGTATATAAAACCAGCACATTGTACCCCATGATTACATTAATGTGCATAGCTATGATTTAATAAAAAGAGAGAGAGAGAGGAAAAAATTTAGGACAATTCACTTTCAAGAATTCCTCCAATTACATATCTACAGGAAGGAGGGAGCATCGCTAGCACAGTTGGCTACTTGCAGAAATGTACCACGTATCTCTGTGAGCTGGAGACATGGATGGGCAGCCTGTGGGCAGCAACTCTCCTTCTCAAGCCTAAAGTATCCTCATAAACTAGCAACAGCTTGATAGAATTCCTCCTGACTTCAAAACCGTCTCTAAGCACACAGAACCCTACCCTCTTGTCTCCTGGTTCATAGGTCGCACTGGGATAGCCCCGTTGGTATTATCTTGAGTGGCTAGGACTGTGTTTACCACTCGAGGGCATGTTAATTGGTTGGTTGGTTGGTTGAAGGAAT